CACCTCTCTTTGGAATGGGCACAAATATGGATCTCTTCCAATCAGTTGGCCAGATAGTTGTCTTCCAAATTTCTTGGCAGAGATGAGTGACTGCCCCTGACCTTGTTTTCACTGATGACAACAAGTACATTTGTTTTTAGTCCTTGACACTCTGTGTGTTCTCTCCTTCATATCTCACCCCACTGTCATTACTGCCTCAGGGCCTGACTGACTATCTAGTGCTACTATAGCAGAAATACCACAAGTGGGTTTCTTTAGCAAACAGGAATTGATCTTTCACAGTTTAGGAGGCTAGAGGCACCAGTTCTTTGGGCAGGCTTTCTCTCTCTCTCAGCTCAGTGGGAAAGTTCTATTCCTTGGCCCTTAGGGATCTTTATAAGGCCCAGCCACTGTCTTCCCCATCTCTCCTCGCTCACTTGCTCATTGAATTTCTTATATCTCAGATGAGATTGGCTTAAAACACACCCTATACTAAAACTGCCTTGTTGACAAACAAAGAAAGCCCACTCCCAAATGGGATTAAACTACAGGTATGGGGTGGAGATTTACAACATGTTTTGGGAAGGACAGAGGGGAACACAATCCAGTCCACAAAAGGGCCTGACAGCTTCTCTGCCTCATCAAAGAGCCTCTCTGCAGCAAATAATCCCATGACTACTTTTTCCAGTTTAGACTTGTTTTCCCAGATGACACTTAATTCCATTCTAATAAAGTTTTGTGGTCATTTTCTGTGTGTTTTTTTGTTTGTTTGTTTAATTTTTACTATGAATTGAGTGAAGATTTATGGACAAGATCATCAGTTTTCATTCAACAAATTATACACTTTTTTTTCATCTCAATGATTATAATCCCCTCCATGCAACAAGCTATCAGGTTTCCTCCCTGCGGTTCCTATTTGCATTTCATTTTCTCTTTAATTCCTGACTGTCCCACTATAATTATAATCTCAGGGATTGATAACATTTTCTTATAAAGAACCAGATAATAAATATTTTAGACTTTGGGAGACATCTAGTCTATTGAACTTTCCATCTATATGTACTGTCAAAACAGCCAGAGATCACATGTAAATGAATGAGCATGACTGTGTTCCAATAAAACTTCATTTACAAAAACAGATGGCTGGTTGGATTTGGCTCTTGGGCCATATTTGCTCACCTCTGGTCTATAATAGTAATTGCTGTACTAAGAACACACACTTTTACAGCATTTATTAGGCACCAGTCATGGTTCTAATGTTTATTAGCATTCATTCATCTAATCTCTTCAGCAACTGATGGTGCACAGAGGGGACTTAAAGCATTGTAATGGAACAAAGTGTTTGATTTGTTGAATGTAAAACTGATTATCTGCTCTACAAGTCACTCAATTCACAATCAAACGTTGTTGTTGTTTTTCAGTTTCCCTTCAGCTGGAAATTCTTAGTTGGAACACATACTAAATAAAACCCCTTCCTAAATCTTCACCCCACCTCCTACCCTAGGTCTTTCATGTGGTAGGCAAGGCAATGGGGTTTTTGTTTGTTTGTTTATTAGAAATGAGGAATCCAGGAGTTTATAGGGGATGCTATCTGGTGGCGTAGTGTTTATGAGTCAGGCTGCTAACTTCAAGGTCAGCAGTTCGAAACTACCAGCCATTTAGCAGGAGAGAGATGAGGCTTTCTGCTCCCATAAAAATTTATAGACTCGGAAACCCTCCACAGGGTGTCTGTGAGTCAGAACCGACTGGACAGCACACCACTCCTGTCCCCACCACTCTAAAATGATACTATTTGCTTCATTTGTCTCCACTTTTGCCCAGTTCCTCCGTTTCTCCCTTATTAGCTGTGAGGCAGGAGAATGAAGGGGTTAAACCATTGGGTTTTCAAATCAGAGCAGATTAAAATCCAGCTTCCAACTCCTACTTGACCTTGGACAATTTACTAAATCTATTTGATGCTCAGATTCTACATCTGTGAGATTGGGAAAGACATAACACCTCTCACTTAGAATGACCACGGTAATTCAATGAGATGATAAGAATGCTGGGTACTGCAGCACATGGTTGTTATTGTCTTGAGATTTGGCACACAGGAACACAGCCTGGAGCAGATGAAATTGAATTTAAACCGTGTTCCTTATTAGCGTTTTGAGTCTACACATGTTACTTAATTCAGTGGGTTTCCAAAACATTTTGGGAAATTGGCATAGTATTGTCAAACCCTTCTCCCTCAATATAAGGACAATAATTGTTTTTATTGTGAATTGAGTAAAGGTTTACAGAACAGATCATCAATCCTACATTCACCAAGTCATGCACTTTGTATCATTACAATGATTACAGTCCCTTCCATGCCCCATCAGTTAGCAGCATTGACCTCTGTTCACTTTCCCTCTTGCACACCACCCTGTGCCTCCCACTACCTTCATCTTTCCTGTACTAACCTTCCTCTTGTTATGAAGGACAATGGTTGTTGCTGTTGGTTATGTGCCGTGGAATTGGTTCCGACTCTGTATAGGGTTTCTAAGACTTTAAATCTTTATGGGAGCAGAAAGCCTCATCTCTCTTCTATGGAACCGCTGGTAGTTTTGAACTAGCTGACCTTGAGGTTAGCAGACCGACTTGTAATCACTATGCTACCAGAGCTCCTTTTTGTTGTTGGTATGTGCTGTGGAGGCAGTTCCGACTCATAGTGACCCTGGACAGGGTTTCTGAGGCTGTGACTCTTTATGGAAGCAGAAAGCCTCATCTTTCTCCGGTGGAACAGCTGGTAGTTTCAAACTGCTGGCCATGAGATTAGCAGCCTGATTCGTAACCAGTACGCTACCAGGGCGCCTTAAGTGACCAATAATAAGGTAGATTCAAATTGCTGAACTTGCGGTTAACATCCCAACTTGGCTGCCAGAGCTCCTTTTAAAAAACGAACATCATCGCTATTGTTTTATGAAATAAATGGCATTTTAATAACCACCTCTTCCCCACAATAATGTAAAAAGGGTCAGTGCCTTTGTTTCTCTCCTTTCCAGTGTTTGGAAATTGATTCTCTCCCAAGCTTCTCTGTAGAATGGAATAACTCCCACCCATGTACACATATACTGATAGAGTCGGTGTGTCTGGCACATAGTAGGAATGGAGGAATGGTTGGTCACTTCGGTTGGTCTTCCTCTTGAACTGCTTTTCCCTCATTCCTTCAACCCCCACCCAATTCCCTTCTTGGGGACTGAGAGACAGGTGTGTGTGTGTGTGTGTGTTGTGTGTGTGTGTACCAGGAAGAACTATGGAATCCCATATCTCAAAGGACTTTATTGGGGGTGGTATGACATGCACAGGACACAGCCTCATGGGAACAATGAAGGGGGAGAGAATGTTCTCTGTCTAGGACGATCTAGGGACTGAGGGAACAGGGCCTTTCCCATCCAGGTCCTTGGAGCTTTCTCCAGTCAGACAGGGAGGAGGGAGGGGGCGGCGACTTAAGGGCAAGGTTTGAGGGAGGAGATTTCACTATCTCTGGAGACAAAAGGACTTTTGTGTGTTATGATCTCTGGGTGGGGTGGGGCAGGGTGAGGAGAGGGGAAATAACTTGTGGGAATGAGAATGAGGTTCTATAGGAAAAACAGAAGTAGTGAAAGAGAGAGAGAAATCAGAGACATTGAGACAAAGACGAAGAGAAAAATGAAGAGGGATAGAGCAGAGAAGCAGATTAAAACATAAAGAGGCAGACAGTGGAGTGGAAAGAGAAAAGAAATCAGAAAGAGTGACCCCAGGCCAATTTTAGCTTTGGCTTCTTGTTGGTTCTGAAGTTCAGAAAGGGGAGAGGCTGCCAAAGGGCATCTTGAGGCCCAGCTCCCACGTTGGGTGCCACCACAAACAAGCTGTGCATCTCCCAGGAAATCTCACCCCTTCGCTTAGCTTTGTTGTTGTTGTTGTTGTTTAGTGCTGTTGAGTCGATTCCAAACCATGGCGACCCTGTATAGGGTTTCTAAGGAGCATTGGTGTATCCATCTGTAAAAAGAGGGACCTGGACTCTGTCTGGGAGTCCCTGGGTGGTGCAAACAGTTCAATGTTCATGACCAATCACTACTAACCAAAAGGTTGGTAGTTCAAACACCCTCAGAAGTGCATCAGAAGAAAGGTCTGGTAATCTGCTTCTTAAAGGTCACAGTTATCAAAATCCTGTGGAGCTGTTTTCTGACACACATTGAGTCGCCATGAGTCAATTGTTGGACTTTATAGTGGGCTCCAGTGCCATGCACTTGGAGGCACAGGGATCCACAGGCTAATTTCAATCATTTTTAAATGTGGGAGCTAAAATGTTCGCATCTCAGGAGACAACCACGTTTGGATGCTCAGATGCTACCCCTCAGCGGGTTGGCTGTCATTGGATGAATGAAGGTCAGTTTCAGGCGAAACTGTGTTTTATGAATGCCCAGTCTTTGGGGCTGTGGGTTAATGTCCTGGACTGCAAGGTTGGTTTGAACCGCAAGGTTGACAGTTCAAGCTTATCAGCTGCTCCTCAAAAACCCTATCCAGGGTCATTATGGGTCGGAACTGACTTGACGGCACACAGCAACAAGTCTTTGGGGATTTAAGCCTGAGAATCACAAAACAAAGCAGCTACACCCTGTACAGGGTCGCTATGGGTCGGACCCGACTCGATGGCACTTAACAACAACAACAACAACTGCTCCACAGAACCCTAGCTTTCTGAGCGCTGAGTCAATGGAAGATGCAGGTCTCTTTGTTGGTGACCAGAGAAAAGACAGGTGGAAATGGGCAAAGAAGGAGAGAGCAAGGAGGTTTGGACATTTAGGAGATGGAAAATTCAGATCACTGGGTGAGCCCAACTCATGTCCTTTTTAAAAAGGAATTCCTTGACCATGTCTTTGGGGAGTGACTTTTGGAGGTTCAGGTTGAACTGGAGGCCAGGAAAAAATCAGAACCTTGGGAGCCTGTTGGAGCTGAGGTCAGAGAAGCACATGTTTCTTTTGCACATGCCTTGGTACTTGGAGGGGCAGGCAGAACATGGGTTCCCCATCTTGTATGGTGCCTCCCCAATCCAGTTGCCCCTGGAAGAGAAAAAGTACCAGGGAGATGGGGGTAGGGTGCGGTGAGGGGGAACAGAATACAATTACACTGTGAGTAACCTTAACGTAGGCAGGGCTTTCCAAATCCCACCCTGCCACTGACTGGCTGTGTGACCTTGGGCAAGTCACTTCTGCAAGCCTCGGTTTCTTCAATGGTAAAATCAAGAGATCCCTCTCTCATAGGCATGCAACACAATCACATGGAACCATAAATGGATGCATCTAGAACTAACCAACGAGATGCCATTGTGTTGATGCTGACTCATAGCAACCCAATGTGTTACAGAGTAGAACTGCACTTCATAGAGTTTTCAAAAGCTTTTGGAAGAGAATCACCAAGACTTTCTCCCGAGGCATCTCTGGGTGAATTTGAACCAGCAATGTTTTGCTTAGTGGTTGAATGGTTAGCCATTTGCATCACCCAGGGACTCCGCACTTAGCACAGCACTGGCAAATACATTGTAATTTTCATATCTCCCCACCCATCTGAGAAATCAGAGGGTTCTAACCACCATCTACCAGCTTGGGGACAGAGAATAAGTCATCGCATTTCTCAAGACTTGTTTTTAGCCTCTGAATAAATAAATGGAGTCTGCGGAAATTATGTCAAATGACTGATAAGTAAATCATCTGTAACTTACAAGACTGTTATGGAGAGGACTGGAATAATTAGATGGTGAGTAGAATTCAGTCATGGAAGGAGGTGACCATCAAATTTGAAATACCCACTCAGTTCATTTCTTTAATGCCCTTATCACAACTCCATCCTGTTGTTGTTGTTAAGTGCTGTCAAGTCGGTTCTGACCCACAGCGACCCTGTATAGGGTTTCTGAAGGGCAGCTGGTGAGCTTGAACCGCCAACCTGTGGTTAAAACTGACTTTGCAGTCCAGCGCTTTAACCCAAAGAGCCACACCAGAACTCCAACTCCATCCTACCTGCAGCCTAAATAGTCTTCCGAGGAGAACACCCTCATCATATCCCTCTCCTGCTTGAGAATTTTATTGACTTCCCATTATTTACATAGGAGCTGGCTAAAAATTAGCTTGAGAATGACTTCCAGAATATCAGGATGGTATAGTATACAGAAGGTGACAGAAATGGTTATGCACTCAGCTGCAAAAAGAAAAGAGTTTGAACTCACTAGCTGCTCCGCAGAAGACCAGGTGACCATCTCCCATATACATTTACATCCTAGGAAATCCTACTGGGCGGTTCTAATACGTCACATAGGGTCAATATGAGCTGGAATCAGCTCAACAGCACATGACAACAGTGTACCAGAGCATGGGACTTAGAGTCAAAAGCTTGGGTTTGAAAAAGCTTGACTTCTTATTGGCTATGTGACTTAATCTCTCGAAATTTCTATTTCTTAATCTTAATCTAGAACAATATTTTCTCAGTGTCCCTCCTAATCTTCCTTCCTTCTTTCTTTCCATCTTTCATCTCTTCATTGTGATAATAAAATGAAAGTACTTTGCAAATGAACAAGGACTATGTGAGAATGTTGTTGTTGTTATGTGCCGTTGAGTTGGTTCTGACCCATAGTGACTCTGTACAGGGTTTCCAAGCCTGTAAATCTTTACGGGAACAGAAAGCCTCATCTTTCTCCTGCAGAACAGATGGTAGTTTCAAACTGCTGACCTTAAGGTTCGCAGCCCGATTCGTAACCACTACGCTACCAGAGCTAAAGGGTGGTTATTTGGCGCTATAGGATCAGTACTGGACTGCCAACCATAAGGTCAGCAGTTCAAACCCATCAGCAGCTCCTTGGAAACTCTATACAGGATCACTATGAGTTGGAACCAACTCAATGGCACTTAAGAACAACAACATTATTATATGTGTTTTTTTTTTTGTTTTTCTTTAATATCACTTAGAATTTGTACTCAGTAACATTTGCAAGTTTTTAAGTGCTAGGCTACTAACCGGAAGGTTGGCATTTGGATCCACCAGTCCCTCCATGGGAGAAAGATGACAGTATGTTCCTATAAAGATTGTTGTTGTTAAGTGCCATTGAGTTGATTCTGACTCTGCTTCCAACTCATAGCGACCCTGTGTAGGGTTTTCAATGAGCAGTTGGTGGGTATGAACTGCTTACCTTGTGGCTAGCAGTTCTGTGCTTATCCTACAGCACCACACCAGAACTCCTCCATAAAGACGGTTGTTAAGTGCCATTGAGTCAGTTCCGACTCATAGTGACCCTGTATAGGGTTTCCGAGGAATGGTTGGTGAGCTTGAACCGCCGACCTTGCAGTTCAAATGGCTTTGCAGTCTGGCGCATTAACTCACAGCACCACACCAGGACCTTGGAAATCCTATGGGGCAGTTCTACTCTATCTTATAAGGGTCGCAATGAGTTGAAATCGAGTCGATAGCTATGGGTAATAAAAGTATACTGAACATTGATTGGGAATTTCTATTCTCCTTTCTCCGTGTTCCAAGAGACATGTATTTGAGGACCTCTCCTAGCGTCTTTCCGCCCTGCAGTTACCTGATTGGATAAGCTAGGAGAAGTAGCAGAGCATGCTCAGTTCTTCCCTTCCGGTCTTTCATCAGGTTGCCTATAGGGGGCGTGTGTCCTGAGCTTCTCTAAGTCTTCCAGTAAACCTGGAGGGGCAGGCTCTGCACTTGTAACAAGGAGTCAGTTGTCCAGTGTTGTCTGGCACTGGATCGGTAGGTCTAATTCAGCAGTGAAATGTTTATAAGCCCTCGTGGCTCCGTTCGTTCTCCATACTGGCCTCAGCAGTGAGACTGCCTAGTAATCAGCCAGGCTCCGCTGTCTATCCCCCAATCGATTCTGACACTTGGGTAAAGAAAAAAGATCATTAGTTGACTCTCAAAACGACCAAAATCTGTGGTGTTGAGTTTACTTTAAATTGAGGAAGGAGTAGCATCTCTGAAACACACTGGGGGTTTTGTATATGGCAGGCCTTTATAAGGAGTATATGTGCACGTGTGCATCCGTGGTACCTACTTAACCTAACTACTAGGTGTGGGTCTTTCTTTTCTTTGTCCTGCCCATTCTACATCAGGATCTACCCCCTGCCCTCAAGACCCCTTTGCCTCAGTGCTGACACTTACTTAATGGCATAGTTGCAGACCAGGTACACTGCCTGATGCAAAGTACTGCCCCAGACGTTGATGCTGCCACAGGTATGAATGGCACAGCCAACCCGGTTGGAGGATGCCCACACCATCTGAGGGAAGACAGAGATGGTGATAGGATGGGAAGGACTCGGTTCCTTGGGGCTGGATAACTCCTGGACTTGGTTCAGGATGGTGCATTGGGTAAGGTCTCCCTGCCCCAAGATGAAGGGACTAGAGGTATAATATTGTAGTCTAATATTCCTCACATTTGTTCTGACTGCAACCAACCACAAAGAATACATTTTATATAATTGTTATTTAGTGCACAAACGTATGTACACACACACACACACACACACACAGGTATAGTTGGAACAAAAGTTTTAGGAACAATGAGTATTTACCTTTATCACATATAATAAAGTATACTTTAATATTTTCTCTTATATTGGTCCATTCATTTCCTTTTTCCTTTCTTTCTTTTTTTCTTTTTGTTAGTGACCAGTCACAAAATTAACTCCATCTGTCTCTATAACCTCAATTTACAACGATAACTGCAACAATAATTGTGTTAAAGGTTAGAACTTTAGAATCACATAGACTTGGATCAGAATCCCACTATCACTAACTATGCGACCTTGACCAAGTTGCTTAACCTCTCTGTGCCTGATTCTGCTTTGGTAAAATAAAGGTAATAATATCTCATGATAAGTTCAGGCCTCACATTTCCTGTTGTTGTTGTTGTTGTTGTTAGGTGCCACTGAGTCTATTTCAATTCATAGTGACCTCCTGTGTCAGAGAAGAACAACCCTATAAGATTTTCTTGGCTATAATCTTTATGGGAGTGAATCATCATGTCTTTCTCCTGAAGAGCAGCTAGTATGAGTTCGAACTGCCAAACTTTCGGTTAGCTGAGCACTTAACCATTGTGTCACCAGGACTCCTTTCATATTTTCTAGAGGGCATTTCCATAGGTTAAGCACTGGACTGTGGACCACAAGCTTACCAGCTGCTCTGCAGGAAAAAGATGAGACTTTCTGTTCCTGCAAAAGGTTTACAGCCTTGGAAACCCTATACGGGGTCCCTGTGAGTTGGAACTGACACAACGGCACTAAACAACAACAACAGAGGGCCTCACATTTAGGTTTTTGAGGTCATCTCCAAATGAATCACAGAGACACTGGAAGAGAACTTGTCATACACTTGGAAGGTTCCATCTTATTGAGAAGATTATATTGCATTGTGCTTTTAGGTATAATAAGTGTTGTTGTTGGTGGTGGTGTGTCATGGAGTCGGTTCTGATTCATAGTGACCCTATATAGGGTTCCCGAGGCTGCAAATCTTTATAGGAAAAGCCTCACCTTTCTCCTGTGGAGCAGATGGTAGACTCAAACTTCTGACTTATGGTTTGCAGCCCAATTCATAACCCACTATGCTACCAGAGCTCCTTATAACAAGTGTTAGCATATTTAGTATTAACACTCAAAATATATTACAATTTTTGTCATCTTATTTTGTGACTTCTTTTTTAAGACAACAGGGAGCGCTAGGGAACCTGTTGTCTGGACCTGTTGAATTCAAAAGCACTTTGTCATCGTCAGAGCCTCCATTTTAGCTTCAGTGAATATGGTCAGCCCACCTATGACACTCAGAACAGGATCCAAAACCAAAAAAAACCCATTGCAACTGCCCAAAAAAAACCAAAACAAAAATAAAAAAAAAAAAAAAAAAAAACCCAATTGTAAAGTTTTTCAACAAAATTCTTTTAGAAAATC